ACTATGCGTACATAAGCACAAAATAATTTCATTGACATGAGATAAGTATTATTCTTTAACATTAATTTTTTAAACAAACCCAATTGCTATTCACTGACGTGAATTTATTACTGTGTACATTACAAAATAAATAAATATCATAAGAAAAAAAAAAAAAAAACATACAATCTTTCCTTAATTTATAGAACTGATGTTCTAAAAACACTTTCCATTTATATGGAACAATAATAAAAAAAAATATATACTGATGTATATAATAATTCCCAATTGAACTGGCGTTCAAAAATTTTTATAACTGCATGGATATGCAATAAAATAATATACTGAGAATTAATGATTTTGAAGTTTTCCTTAATTCATAGAACTGATGTTCTAAAACTTATTTTCCATCGATATGGAACAAGAAATAATAAAAAAATATACTGATATATAATAACTGAAATTTGAACTGGCGTTCAAAATTTTATAACTGCATGGATATGCAATAAAATAATATACTGAGAATTAATGATTTTGAAGTTTTCCTTAATTCATAGAACTGATGTTCTAAAACTTATTTTCCATCGATATGGAACAAGAAATAATAAAAAAATATACTGATATATAATAACTGAAATTTGAACTGGCGTTCAAAATTTTATAACTGCATGGATATGCAATAAAATAATATACTGAGAGAATTAATGATTTTTTGGAGCTTCTTAATTTTTTAGAACGGATGTTCTAAAACTTACTTTCCATTGATATGGAACAAGAATAATAAAATATATATACTGATGTATATAATTAATTCAAAATTGAACTGGCGTTCAACAAGTTACAACTGCATGGATATGCAGAGCAAAAAAAACGTACACTGACGTATACAAAAAATAAAATCAAAATTCTCTCTTAATAAATGGATATTAAACAGTATAATTTTATAAATTTCTCTCGTCTTACATTACAGGGAGTTGCAAGCAAAAACTCTTACCTGATTCATTTCCACGCGGGAATCCAGAAAACTCGAAATTTCTGGAACGTTCTTCCTGTGGGGTTTTCCACTAAGACTCGATCATTAACGGCTGCGCCAGTAAAGTTTGTTTCTAATCAATGGGCACGGAAACAATTAAGAAAAAAACCTGGCATTTAAATTTTAAAAATTAAGGTTTATTAAAAAAAAAAAAGATTTAAAGAAAACGGTTATTATACAGTTAGCAACACTCGGACATGACTTCACTCCGTCGTACCCAAAGACCGAATCCCTGCCACTTGCCATTCCACATTCCAAGGGGAGGGGAAACTACCCATTCCCCTTAGCTGGTGTCAATGGGCCTTCCCACTCCTACACACACCAATGGGTGGGCAATAAGCATCGACACATTTAACCCCTTCGCGCCGACCGTAACGTATATGCACCATTATGAAATGCTCACAGTTCCCGAACGTTACATATACGTATCACTGGCTCGGAACGTTTTAAAGTTCAGTTTTCTTAGCAACACAGACATCATTACATATTTATAAGATTTGAAATACTTGTAGATCTGACCTTCTACTTGAAACGAGAGAAATATTACTCACATGGACCTGGATTTTGATTCATAAACATTAGGGGATAATTAGGAAATGAATTGTCCAGCAGAGTATGATAGCCAAAGTAAAATTTTTAAAGTAGACAAAGTTTAAATTTACTATTAAAAATGTGCAATAAATAAATATATTGCACTGAAAATTGAGGTGGATAAGAGTCCGGAAGAATTCTTCACGGTCTTTTTGTAAAGGGTGTTTTTTTAGAGATATAGAACTTTAAATTGCAATAAAACAACGATATATTATTCGATTGACATGAATTTTTTTTTTATTCGAAAGATAATCTTGTGGCTTTACATTTTAAATATGATCAAGCAAGGCGTAAGTTCGTCGAATGGACCCAAAACAAGATTGCCGTTGTTCCCGATTTTCATAAGCGAATTTTGTTTAGCGATGAAGCGCACTTCTGGTTGAATGGCTACGTCAACAAACAAAACTGCCGCATTTGGAGTGAAGCTAATCCACAAGTGTATGTCGAAACACCGTTACATCCAGAAAAACTGACTGTTTGGTGCGCTTTATGGGCTGGTGGAATCCTTCTTCAAAAACGATGAAGGCCTCAACGTTACAGTCAATGGTGATCGGTATAGAGCCATGATTACTAACTTTTTCATTTCTGAATTGAACAATCATGATGTCCAGGAGCTGTGGTTCCAACAAGACGGCGCAACATGTCACACAGCTCGTGCCACAATCGATTTATTGAAAGACACGTTTGGTGACCGCCTAATTTCACGTTTTGGACCTGTGAATTAACCTCCAAGATCTTGTGATTTAACACCGCTAGACTATTTTCTGTGGGGCTATGTAAAGTCATTGGTCTATGCGGATAAACCACAAACGCTTGACCATTTGGAAGACAACATTCGCCGTGTTATTGCCGATATACGGCCACAAATGTTGGAAAAAGTCATCGAAAATTGGACGTCCAGATTGAACTACATCCGAGCCAGCCGTGGCAGTCCTATGTCAGAAATCATATTTAAAATGTAATGCCACAAAATTATCTTTCGAATAAAAAAAATTCATGTCAATCGAATAATACATCGTTGTTTTATTGCAATTTAAAGTTCTATACCTCTAAAAAACACCCTTTATTTATATTAGCATTGTAGTCATTCATATTTAACATAGACATTATTGGTGTGAAGGAGAGAGTCAAACAATTCCTAGCAATTTTCTGAATGTGTGATTTAAAACTATTGATTTTAATGGCTTTCCGGATGTCGTCATTTCTCATAAAACGAAATGCGAAATCCGGACTTTATCGATCATCCGAATAATAGAATTTTGTACGGTATATCTAAAATATTAATATTTGTTTTAGCAACACATCCCCATACTGGACAAGCATATGCTGTGATGGATCGTATGACAGCTATATAGAGAAGCACTTTATTTTCTATACTTAATGCTGAATTCCGGGAAAATCCCATTTTTAAGGTATGCGACTACACTAAAATCATGATTTTTTTTTAAAAAAATTGACAAATTTTTATGGTTTTATTTCATAAGCCATCATATTAGCTTTATAAAAATACCAAGTTTTTTTTCCATTCACTATAACAAAAACTACAAGTGTTTTAATAAAATCAGATGCCATAACTTTACATAAGATGTCAAACTTTAAAAAATGCGTTTCACTCGAAATGTGTGTGTGTGTTTTTCTTCCAAAAGCTCAAACGGGTACAGCGATTGCTCAAAAGGTTTTGAAAACAATTTGCTGAAATTTTTTGTGTATGTTCTGTATAAGAGTAGAATTATTTTAACCCTCAGATTTATCAATCACTGCTTTATTACATAATCCCCGCTTTTTTAAGCAATTTTATATCATAGCTAAGATAAAGTGCTCTAATTTTTGTAAAATTAAAATATCTCTTATCTTGAAGGTCATTTCAAAAAGAAATAGCAAAGTAATGCATCAAAATTGAAAAATAGAGAATTTGTTTATTTACTATTTGTACAGAGCGGGCCCCGTTTATGTAATTTTTTGTCAATTTTACCCATTTTTTTCCCATTTTAGTAGCATTAATTCATTTTTCTCTTCTTAATTTTAGCCTTTTTTTCTTAAAATCTGCTAAATGAATCTAAAAACTACAAAAAAATCTCCATACCTTCATTTTTCAAAAAAAAAATTGTCGCAAGTAGTCGGATACCTTAAATGAATTAAAATACGTTACAGCAGTGGTGGAGGGAAGAGGTGAGGGAAAAAAAGCGACTTAAAATGAATTCAGTGCTACATACATGATTGATTACGCTATTAATTACCACAGAGAGAATCATGAAATAACACACTACATTCATAACACACATTAAATAAGTCATCTTTCTCTCTCGTGGGGACACTATCTCAAAATCACAAGATTTGAAAGAGAGTGGGGGAAAAAAGACTAATAATTTATCTCCCCACCCCCACACACAACAGATACGAGGCAGAAAAATATCAAATCAAAACAGAAGGCACTAACACGACTGCCTCTTTATTAACACATCTTTATTCCCTCTCTCCAACTGTCATGACTTCTCCCATTCCACTGAGTTCCGTACAGGGCATATCCAGTTTCATTCGAACCAGAATTCCTTTTTAAACCACGGGGGTGCTCGCTCTAAAACACCACAAGCCTCTTCCATAAAAAGAAACACCACATACTAACCCCCCCTTCGTAAAAAACAGGGGGGTGGCCCCCGCGCACAGAGTAATCATAGGGATGAATCCCCTCCTTTACACCTGGGGTGTTTCCAACCAGGGGGCGCCGCGGTAGTAGCAACGTGAGAAAAGACTACATACCTGTGATCATATTTTTAACGGGAACTTATCAGACAGTTTTCAGCTTAATTGAACCACGCCAAGGTTGAAACGATCGTCTGCACTGCTATGCCCCCCACCTCATCCAAACGAATTTTTTTAAGAGCATCCGGTTCCGTTTTGCTTTTGCTCTGTGTGAAAGACATTCCTCGCATTCTTTAGAAATATGTTCTAAGGGAGGGTGTGCGTGTGTTGTTCGAAATGGACGATGTGGAATTCAGGTTGGTGGGAAAGGTAGGGTGTTTTTAAAGTGCTGAGATTTTTTTTTTATACAAGAGATATTCGGGATTCAACAAGTTGTCATTATGTAATTGCAAGGTTTTGAAACTGGAATGTGACATTCAGTACGAAAACATTAAAAACCGAGTTATTCAATTAATTTACTGCAAACTTAACTATTACAAAAGAGTTGTGAAAATATAATCTGATAATAAGTACATAAATATGACACAATCACAATATTAAGTGACAGAATAGAAAGCTATTTTCCTTGCAATTTTCCCTTCTATACAGGGAGTTGGACTATTTATTTTTGTCTGTAACTATTTATTCATCAATTAAATTTAATTATTCTAATAAAATAGTACAGTAAAAAAATATATCCCATTCTCAAAAATTAGGCCATCCCAGGTGGGAGAACCCACGACCCTTCGATTAGAACTCCAAAGCGCTATCCATTTCGCTACAGGGACACACCGAACGCTCTTCCTCTCCATATATACTGTTGGACTATTATTTTTGTTTGTTATTATTTATTCATTTTTTTGTTTTAATTAATGAATCAATATTTGAAAAAACTGTATTAACATCAAGTGCCATCTACAAGTTTGAAAAATTGTGTTTGAACTTGAGTGGATGAATAAAAAGTATTTTATTAACGATTGAAAATTTGAACAAGATATGTATGTATATATATATATATGCATATATACGTATATATATATGTGTATATATATATATATGTATGTATATGTATATATATATATGTATATATATGTGTATGTATATATATGTATATATATATATGTATGTATATATATATGTATATATATATGTATATATATATGTATATATATATGTATATATATGTATATGTATATATATATATGTATGTATATATTAAAATAAAAGTGAAGAATATATATAAATATATATTGGGAGAGTGTGAACTATATATAATAGTAGGAATTGAAAAAGGAAATTAAAACATTTATTTAAAGACAAAAAAGTGCATTTCCAAAATCTTCAATAAATTGTAGTCAAGAAAAAAAAATTTGGATATATTTTAAACGATTTATTAAAATTACATTTTTATGTGACTAACATTTTAGGTAAATGTCACAAATTTTAACGGTAAAGTCTCTCTTGAGACGTGATCTAGATAACAGTAAGATATCGTGTTCAGAATTACGAATTTCGTCCCAAAATAACTTTCCTAGTCTCCCATTAGGGGAGGATATTTAAAAAAAATAATAATATCATTTCAGTTAATCTCAGTAAGTTCAAAAAAATATATTAATATAAATATTCGGTACTTCTTGCCGAATTCCTTTTCCCAGAAAATATGCATTTAACTTATTTGATTTTTCGCTACGTACTTAATAGAAGTAATTCAGTATTCATAAATTGAATATAGTAATAAAAGATAACGCGTATCTTAAAAGATAACAAAAAAATTCATTTCTTTAATTCCTCACTTCTTTAAAAATGAGCAAGATTCGATTTAACTATATTTTCCTCTGAAATATCAAGTGCTAAAAAAAAAAGGAGAAAGAAATTTTTTTTAAAAAAAAGAATTTATAGCACTTGAAACTTAACCTTAGGTAAAATTTTAAAAATTTTACTGCAGAAAAAGTTAATTTTTCCCGGTGCCTGAACAATCCTGGTAGTAATGTAAATACGATTTTATATGTACACAAAATCTGATGTGTTTCTGCAGTACAACCTCGCAATCAACATATAGCGGCGGGAGGGGGGTTGAGAGAGGCGGAGTACGGTTTGGGGCCAAAAATCTAACTTTTTGCAGAAAGGCCTAATATTCTCTGTTATGCCAATGTATATTTAATTTATATGCATACCTAATTTACATATACCTACATGCAAATCAATTTTTTTTTTCAAAACCGTATTTTAATAATCTTAAAGAAGAGGGGTCAACAAGTCCGGACCCTCCCCCATCTCCCTTGATTTTATTTTCTATTGATTATAATCCTATGCATATAGTACGTAAAAATTAATTAGTGTTATTATTTATTTAAAGTATTTGTTATTGATTTATTTTATTAATTACTTATTAAATTATTTATTTTTTAATGTTTTCTATTCCCAACAATCGACAAAATCAGAAAAATATGTTTGGCGGCGTAGTGGGTGTGATACGAGAATGGTGGACTTTCAAACCTGGACCAATCCACTTGAAAAATTCCTGTGTGCCCCTGTAAAACCTTGTATTATCCTTCAGCTTCATTTTAAAAATGTATTGAAACACATTTTTTCCCTCAGCAACTTTAACTATATAACAAACTGCGAAATCCAGGTGTTAAGTATTTTACTATACAATATTAAAAATAAATTTGAAGCTTAATTACAACTCTTAAATCAATAACGACATTGTTATATTCTTTCTCAATAAAATTTCAAAAAAAAAAAATCATTACTTAGAGATTCTCGAAATTATCAAGCGTTGAGTTGCATTTGTAATGAAACATACATCAAAATTCTCTCAAAAAAAAGCAAAAAGTTAATAAATCACTCGTGCTGCCAGCTATGATTATAGCGCCAAACGATAAAATGAAATAAAGTCGTTCCGTCATAAATCATTTGTCGAATGTAAATATTTCGAGATAAAATGTCGTTTGCCGATACTTCTTGTCAGTTCCATTCCGGTAATGCGATGAAAAGGAACATTAAAAATACATCTCAGATATGTATGGGACAAACACACAGCCATCGATTTTTATTTTTATAAGTAACTTTTTTATTTTTATAAGTAACTTTTCATCAGCTCAGAATTTGTTTTGGGGAAGAGGAGAAAGAAAATAAGTTAATAAGAAAAAGAGAAAGATAAGGCTAATCTCAATTTTTTTCCCTAAATTAAAATTAAAAAAAAAAAAAAAAAAACCTATTTATTCGAGTTCTAGATGGAAAAACATTTAACAAAAGCAGGGGGGATAAAAACATGAATTACAATTTTATCCAAACATTTTACGCCAGTGCTTCTCAAACTTTCAATATTTGCGACCCAATATTCAATCATTATTTTCATCGCCCCCCCCCCTTCCTGCATGCAATAACAATGTATTGAATCCAATTATACTATACTTTGAAGCTAAGTCTACAATACGACTTTAATTTCTTAAATGCCACCGGCGTGTATATACGTCTCTCTCAAGCTGTGCGTTGAATGCCCTTGACGTATATATATACGTCTTTCCGAAGTACGGATCTTTTCTGTGAACTGCTATCCATAAAACAGATTCCGAAGGCTTTGAAATGCAATAAAATGACCTGGACAGTTTGCGAATAATTTACTTATTTCAAAGGATTTGCTTATTTATTCCTTTTCTATCCCCCAATACACCCGTACGCTCGCCTACATGTTAAACCGTGGCATTAAGGAGCGAAGCGAGCAATTTTGAATAGGCATTTAAAGGATTATTTATAAGGCGTACAAATGATCAAGGTAAGTGTTAATTTTTGCATATAGTTTTATGTATGGCAATCCCATGGGGGCATTGTTCTTAACTTAGTATTGTTAAACTAATTATACGAGTAAAATACATCGCTCAGTACAGATATATTTATAAGTGTATTATATCAGTGTGTGTACATTTTTTTATTATGTCAGAATATATTTTGTTTGTTTACTTTTAGTAAATTAATATTTTTTTAAAAATAAACTTTTGTTTTCGACTTTCAATATACTCGCCCCCCCCCGATAGGGGCGCGCCCCACATTTTGAGAAACACTGCTTTACGTTGTTCTAGAAAATGCATTTCTGCAATTGTAAAAGTTTGCTTATTCCCCCAAATTTGGTTTCTTTTTTCTTTAAATGCAATTCGAAATTATGCAAAATTACTTTTTATCTGCACCAACACACTAAAAATACTGAAAAATGTTGCAAGAATAATCCAGGAGAAATCTTTTAAGATATTGTGGGAGAGTGAGTGAGTATTAACGTCGCACTATTAACTTTTGACGAAGGACCTCGTAGTTGACCACTAGGCTACCGCGACCTTTATGATTTTGTGGGAAAGTTGTGGATGCAAGAAAGTTTGAAAATGCCGGACGTGATAAAGACTAGTAACAGTGGATCCTTTTTACGCAAGTATTGGAGGTGAAAATTAATTTTACAAATAAATATATAATTTGAAATGAAGAAAGCTCTCCCCCTTCATGAAGGATTGCGGTTTTAAATAGAATGTGAAAAAAATTCCTGGTTGAAACCAGTGGCGTAACGTACACCCTCACATTGGGGGGGGCCAAACACTGACTACCGCCAAGTACCTACCCTGTGTAAAATCCAACTTAAGGGGGGGGGGCAAAACCTGACTTTTCAGGGGGGCCCAATTGTTCCTCGTCACGCCACTGGTTGAAACTCTGATTTTTGGCACCAAAAACTTTCACCAAATGGTGCCAAAGTGAGTGAGTGAATATTAAAAACGCCCTATTCAGCTATAAAAGGGCTTTTGGTGCCTGACCTCGTAATTCTGAAACATGGTCAAGTGACAAGGATGACGCCTGAGCTGCCACCCCTCTCCTAAGTTCCACACTACACCAATGGAAGCATGTTTGAGTTTCGACAGATTTAACGTGCATTGGCCCATCTGCACGGCACCATGCTCGAATTCATGACACGCCGGCCACGAGTCCGTGACCAGTAGGCTACCGCGGCCTCCCGAAGGTGCCAAAGGAAACGTGTTTTTATAAATGACCTTACGCTAGATCCTAAGCACTCAATTTGCATGCAAGGGTTGCCTTAAGGGTAACCTTATGTATAAATAAATTTATTACGACATCACGAAAAACCTTTCTTATATATTACAGAGATATAATAATTTCAGCAATTAGTTTTTTTTACAGTGCATAAAATATCATACACATATATTAATTACATTATATGCAACGTCAATTTTTTTCGGTTTCATGTACTATTTTTATAACCAACTTGAAATGTTGAAAATTATAAACCAGTTGAAAAATATATATCTGGTTTTCGACCTAATCGGAATGAATAAATTCTATATAACGCATAGAAAACAATGTTCATTACAGAAACTAAGCATAGCAATTATATCCTGCAGAATGACAGCCCTTCAGACAAACAGCTTATAAACAACATTCATTTCAAAAGTTCTAGCTAAACTTCAGTCAAGAAACTAATCAACGGCGTCATTCCGCACCGACTCAAACAAAGTCAAGGCGAACGAACACATTCTAAATATTTGAACGCAATTAAACCGCACGAGAGTCTTAATAATCAAACCAGCTTAAATCACACCAACACTAACAGTTAAATACAACCATTTTATTCACGTGACGTTAATTGCATTACGGCCCCAGCATTTGTTCGATTTTATATTCCTAAACGCTTCCTTCCCATTCTGAGGAAAATCCTGGATTCCGTTAATTTTCATAAGAATAATATTAGTCCCGAGAATTCCTTGCGGGAATAAATGGGAAAGGACAGCTG